TCTCTCTCTCACACACACACACACACACACACACACACACACACACACACACACACACACCCCTATGGGGTTTAAAGTTTTAAAAGGTTACTTAGGGAAGCGTCTCTTGAATCCAGCTGAGGACCCGGGATTGGGTGAGAGTGGAATTTAATCGCCGTAAGTGGGGCGGGAAGGGGGAGAGGGCGAAAGACGGGCCCCTCCTCCCTTAATCTGAGCGGTCCGGTGCCCAGGATCTCGAGTGGAGGAATGCAAGGCTGCTCCGAGGCTTTCCCTGCCGGAGTTCTGCTATCCGTGATTTAATTTGGGGCAAACCTGGCATTTTCCTGGCTTGTTTGTTTGCTTGTCTGTTTGTTTGTTTTGGCACAGGGATGCCCAGTCTCTCAAGAGCAGAGCTGTGAACAGGCCTCGAGACAGGAAGCGAGCTTCGGGCACCCTTTCGCTTCCACAAAATGCAAGGGACAAGTTGGAGGGCTTTCAAAGGGGATTGGACAAACTCATGGAGGAGGTGGCTATGTGTGGTTACTAGTCCTCATGGTCTTAGGCTAAGTGCGGTATCAAAGATACCAGTTACTGGGGAACATGGGTGGGAGGTCCTGCTTGTGGGTTGCTCATGGGCCACTGGTCGGCCACTGAGAAGCAGGATGCTGGGCTAGGTGGGACCCCAGTAAGTTCAGCCCAGATTGCTCTGAAATCATTTTCTAGATTAAATGGCACTGGGAACAGGGCTAGCTGGAGCATTCTCTTTTTTCCTCTGCCCACCGCTGTTTCTAGGGCACAAACGCCTCCTTGGTGGTTCTTCACCTGGGCATGAAATGCACTTGGCACTTGCTCAGGGACACTGTGGTCCATCTTCCCAGTATGCCTGTTAATGTTGCGTGGTCACACCGTGGTGCGGAAGGTGGAGGCCGCGGCTGCACCTGCTGCACGGGCTGAACTCTCGGCTTTAGATCAGTGTCAGTAGCAGGTCTTCCCAGCCCCAGCCACCCACCCCGCAGTCTCCTTGTATCGAATCGATGCGGATCAATACGGTTGGACAAGCTGTGAGTTTAATAATTTCTGCAGCTGTTGGCGTTGCTTATGGAGACGTAGGGGTGAGTGAGTCTGGAACCGCGTGGATGAGCGGCTGGGAATCCGCAGGACGGACGGCGGTGGGCAGAGGCGAGGCGGCCCGACAGCAGCAGAGACTTGAGCCCCTTGCCGTCCCCAGCTGCCGGGGTTAGGATTGGAAGTGCTTTGGGGCAGGGGCCAGTCCCTCTGTGAGAAGGGCTACCCTCATCCAGGGCCCGGCATCCAGGGCAGGGCTGTGGGCCTTGGAGGTCCCGGAAGGCACGTTCTGGAGCCGGCAGTGTCTCGGGGCGTCTCGGGGCATAGGGGGAACAGCAGAGCTGGCGGCCCGTGCCATGCCGAGCCGAGCCGAGCGCCAGCCCACAGACGATGCCTTTGGGCCTGGAGGGATGGGCTGCGGGGCCTCCTTGGCTGCAGGCCGGAGCTGATTGTTAGGCTTCCTCCAACCCAGAGGGGTTGGACTGCAACTCCCATCATCCCCAGCCAGTGGGGAGGGCTGCACGTGAGGCGAGATGCAGCCCAGCACACCTGGTGCTTGCGGAATCAGGATGACCTGATTCAGACGCTGCTTTCGGCCCTCTAGAGTGGGGCTTTGCCACACAGTTCCCATCGTGGCTTACCTGGCTGGGGGAGCTGATGGGAGCTGTGATCCGAAGCAGAGGTAGGGGTTACCTCATTCACACTGGTGAATTCCTGAAGGCTCCCATTGGCTGTGTGGGGATCCACACCCACCCTTGAAAATGGCTGCCATCATGTCTTTTAATACCGCTAATTCAGACGTTTTGGGACGAAAACTCCTGAGTTTTGGGACGAAAACTCCCATCATGTCGGGAAGATTCAGGCCAACATACCTGGCAGGCCACAAATTGCCTGCTCCAGGCTCAACCGTCGCCCTCCTGGCACTTGATTTTGTTTAAAGCATTTCCTGGCCGCCTTGCAGGGTCTTCAGTGGGATGATGAGTCCTGGCTGCCCCCCCCCCCGAGGCCAACGCATTCCAGAGGTGTGGGTCGCTACAGAAAAGATCCCTCTTTCCTGCGGTCTCCCACCTGCCTGCTTCGCAGGCGGGCAACTGAGAACAGGCCTCTCCTTTTGATCTTGAAGTATGTTCAACACCAGAACTTGGAAAGGAGGGTGCCCTGCGCTGGCTGTCCTCCGGGCGCCCTGCCTTTCCTCACCTGCGCACATCACCTCAGGCTAAAGGATACCTGCCTCCCCCGCCTCCCAGCACTTTGGACGATTTAGAGGTTTTCTTTTCAATTACCATCCAGACCAGACCTGGGCATCGTACGGCCCACGGGCCACATCCGGCCCGATGGCTGACCGTGACTGGCCCGCAGGAGGTCACTGGCAAATTAAAAGTCAACCTTACTATGTTAAGTGCTGGGAGATTACATATGTTGTAAATTTGCACTATATAAGTAAAATTGAATTGAATTGATTGCTTTTCATGTAATGTTAATGTTTTTGTGGATATTCATTAAAAGGTGTTGTTCTGTGCTCCACATTTTCATTGCATCATTGTAATGTTTCATTTACTGTTTTTATAGAGATGGATATTGAGCAGAGCTGTAAGTGTATTGGTCCGGTCCTTAACAACTGTCAAAGTTTCTCATGTGGCCCCATAGGAAAATTAATTGCCCACCCCTGATCCATACCATTCGTCAATGAAGGCTTCTTGGACTGGGTGACAAAGAAGCATT